AATTTTCCAAGTAATATTTGTGGGCTGCAGTCAACTATAGTCAAACAAACCATAAAAAGCAAAACCACAGTTAAAGAGGGACTACTGTACATACACACATATTCACTGGCTATGCGAGTTCTTTTGAGGTGATAACTATTTTATCAGTAGGAAAAAGAGAACATTCCATTACCCATTACAGGCCCAAAAGGTATGGCTCAGCAGACTTATAATACAAAGTACAAAGAGCATAATAAAAAAATGTATATCCTATCTCCATTCTTCACAAGTATCTACTTTCCAAATCCTACAGTCTTCAGTGATTTGAAGAGTTACAGCTTAACAATCTAACTTGTTTTTCAAAAGCCTGTGATACACACCACTGGAAAGGTTGTCAAGCATTCCCTTCCTGAACTTAATACTCCCTATGAGGACATGGTTCTCAGCTAAAATGGAATGCTTTTTACCTTTTATCCCACTCTCCTGTACTACTGGAAGTAAAACAATTATCTCATTACATTCCTTCTGTCTCTCTCACACACACACCATAAACCTTTGTGTGGATTTCATATTAGCACTACTAATATATTAATATACATGGTGTAGAAAATGTCTGCAAAAAGGTCCAAGAAAAATAGCACTGCTTTTGGAGAAAGTGCTATGGTCAGGATGATGTCATCAAAAACCATCTAATGAATTTCCTGTAGCCACATCCTAAAGAAAATCCAGAAGGATCAGTTTTCTCACAAAGTCAAGTAGTCTTTTGGGGGGTGAATGGGTCAGTAACTGTTCCTGTGAACACACAGGTGTCATAAATTGATAATGATTATGATTTACCTTTAATCTTCAAGATTACACAGCCCGGCCGGGCGTGGCTCAGCAATTGAGCATTGACCTAGGATCCAGGCGACTGGAGTTCGATTCCCGGTCAGGGCACATGCCCAGGTTGCGGGCTCGATCCCCAGTCCTCTCTCATCATTGATGTTTCTATCCCTCTCTCTCCCTCTCCTTTCCTCTCTCTGAAATCAGTAAGGATATATTTTAAAAAATAAATAAACATTCAACACAGTTTAAACAAAAAAAAGATTACACGAATGAAATTTCATTTCTTTCAAGTGGGAGGCATTATTGGAATATAAAAAGTATCTTTGTTGAATGTCAATTTTAGATTTTAGTTATGACAGCAAAGTAAGTACAAAAAAGTAAAGATGAGTAAGCTTAGTTGGCATTTACTACAAGGCTTCATAAACTTCTTCTTCAGCTCTAAGTAAAACAAAGACTACTATTCATAAGAACCAAGGAGAGGAGAGCACTCTTTACCTAAGGTAAGCCCTCAGTGTTTTTCCTCCAGGCCGAAAAGCATTTATCAACACTAGACTAGGACACTACAGGAGGTCTGCCAGAAGATTTGAGCTCCTTGAGGGCAAGAACAATGCCATATTTATCTTTATGCCCAAAGTCATTATAGCACCTGGAACACAGTAAACACCCACTAAAACATGTGTGAATGAATGAATGAATGAGTCAGTGAGTGAATGAATTGAATGAATGAGTATCAAAATTCTCCTTTCCCTCCAGAAGCTGCCAGTTAAAGTGGGGAGAAGACCACCATTACAAAAAAGTAAACAGTAAGTGCAACTGAGGTATTACCATGGCTATGGTTTGTCAATCAATTAGGGGGAAAAAATCTTAGATTGATATCCAGTTTTATGGGTTTAAAACAGCCTTTTGGAAACCTTTTCTTTTAAATATGTATAATCCCTATTCACCCAGCGATCCCACTTGTTAGACAATGCTCTAATCCTCAATGTATACACAGAGATTTATACAAGGTCTTTTTTACTGCAACCATATTTGTAAAAGGAAAAAAAACCCTCCCTGAACATTCCATCAGCAGATGAATGGTACATCCGTAATACATATCACTACACAGAAGTTCAAAAGAATGTAGTTGATCTGTATGTGCTGACATGAAAAGAGGTTCAACACTATTAAGTGGAAAAAAATTTGGAAAACAATATATTCCAACATTCGAAAAACAAAACAGTAAGAGAAAATGGGCTAGAGCCATGCTGTATAATACAAATATAATTTAAACTTTCTAGTAACCACATAAAAATGTAGAACAAGAGCGAAATTAATTTTAAAGACATATTTCATTTAATCCAATGTATCCAAAATATTATCATTATACTGTAATCAATATAAAAACTTTGTAACAAAATACTCTAGTCTTTTTTCATTCTAAGTCTTTGAAGTCCAGTGTGCATTTTACATTTAAAGCACATTGCAATTCAAACTACTCACATTTTTTAAAGTATAGTTGACATACAATATTGTGATAGTTTCAAGCATACAACATAGTGATTCTACATTTTTATACCTTAGGATATGATCATCACAATAAGTCTAGTATCTGTCTGTCACTGTATAGTTATCACAATATTATTGGCTATATGCCCTGTGCTGTACATTACATCCCCATGACTTATTAATTCGATAACTGCAAGTCTGTACTTGCATTCCTTCACCTTTACATTCCCCTTCCTTCACTTCACCTTTGCATTGCCCTTCCTTCACTTCATCTTTGCATTCCCCTTCCTTCACTTCATCTTTGCATTCCCCTTCCTTCACCTTTGCATTTCCCTTCCTTCACCTTTGCATTCCTTCACCTTTTTTA